GCCATCGCCAAACCAATGCAGGGGTCGGCAACCATAAACACTCAGAGCCATTTGGACCCATTTCCCACAGAAAACACTGGGGGAGCTACAAACTCCTTTTGACATCTAAAATGTCACTGTATATATCGTTTTTTACCTTTATGCTATGTATAAAAAAACTATAGCGTTGCATTTATGAAATCAACGAACTGCTACAAAGAAAAAAATATATTTCTGCATGCAACAAAAACACTTTAAACTCCAAAAAAAAAAAAAAAAAAAAAAATGCTGGGTCGAAGATTACTTTCAAATAAAATACTCAATGTCTATTTCAGTCCTCCTCATATTTATGAAATAAAAAACTGGTGCAAATTATAAAAACTACAAATAGAAAAATAGAAAAGAAAAAAATTGTGGGGAAAAAAAGGACAGGAGAAAGAGGAGGAAAAAACCCTTTCTCCTTCATCCCAACAGATAAAAACAATTTTAGTAGCTTATCCACCATCTTTAAATACAGCATCATTATCCTCATACCTCATCTCTTAATTAAAAAAAAAAATCAAAATATTTCATTAAACGTTCTTTACTAAAAGTCTAATAAGGACAACCACATATATTCATATTCTCTCCCTCCCCTCCCCTCCCTCTTTCCCCCTCCCTCCCTGCCAAATGAATAGCCCCCACCGCTCCCCGTTAGCTCCTTCCTCATGCTCCTAATTGCGCCCTTCGCCAGAATCCCCCGCGTAGTTGGATGAGGCTTCTCGAAGAGGGGGCTACCGTGCCCTAGTAACTGATTGGAGCTGTCCGGGTGGGAAGAGGATGGCCGGAGCTGAGCCCAGAGCCTTTGCCTTGCATTAGCCTTATCGAGTGGGAGGTCACCTCCGCCACTTCTGGCCACCTTCATCATGCTCCAGGGTGTGAGGCGGGCACCTCATGCATAAAAGGCGCGCTCCCTGGGGTGAGAGCACATGGCGGCTAGAAAAAGCTGACCTTTCCTTAGGGCCCTGATAGGGTCTCACCGGATGCATTTATTAAAACTTCTCGAGCACAGCCCGGTCGGCGTCTCTTTCCCGATCCGCAGTTTGTGGGCCTTTTTTGATTTGGATATACAGCAGTTCCCGCCAGCTGAAGCAACCAGCATGGAGAAACTAGCTGAGAGCGGGAATGGCTTTCTGGAGCCAACGGTGCTAAGCGGCTTCAAGGCTGGAGAGGAAGGTGTAAAGCAGCCTCAGCTGAAGCTCTTCCAGCTACAGAGCTTCGGGCAGCTCCTGAGGAAACGCTCTTCTCCTCCTCCCTCAAATTGGCTGCTAGCAGTTTGGGTGGCTCTGCTCCATCCAAGTTGACAAAAGCGGAGGCCAGCGGAAAGCAGCTTTCTTCAATTTGGATGGAGCAGAGTCACCCAAGCCGCTAGCAGCCGATTTGAGTGCGGAAGACAAGGAGAAGGTGAGGCCAGCTGGCCACGTGAGATCGGCAATGGTGGCTGGTGAGGAGGAATCATGGCACTAGCATTGGCAGCTCCACCCACCCAGCCCGTTTTCCCAGCTCCATACAATGCTTGGCAGCTCCCCCTCACGCACACCCGATCTGACCCACGCAGCACATTTCCAGCAGTCCTCCGTCTCTTCCTCCGCTGCCACCACGTGCAGTCTCAACAAGAGCAGTCCCACAAACAAAAGTTCAATCAATCAATTTCACTTCGCAAGATTTTTTTTTCCGCGAAAGTTGGAATTGATTGAACTTTTTTAGTTCCACTTTTTTTTTGTGGGACTGCAAATGGTGGAGGACTAGGAGCCACAATAGAAGAATGAAAGAACCGCATGCAGCTTGAGTCGCGGGCTGCCGACCGATGCCCTAATGCAATGTGTAAAGCCAACTTACATTTGTTCCTACCATTTATGGATTGCTAGCAGAGTTTAGATCATTACATAACCTAAACTGAGCTAGGTTTGATTTTGCTATTATTGAGAACTCGGCTTCCATCTTAGGTAGTCCTCCCTCAGCAGTCCTTTAACAGGACTCATTCTCAGATAAGTCTACCTTGGCCCTTCCTTTCATCTACAAACCAAATACATTGTTCTTAACCTGTTTAATTCAATAGTATGTAACATAGCAATAATCATCTGGATAGATTTTTGACCCAATGAGGACAGGCCCAGTAAGGGCTATTAATCGTGAATGCTTCCAAGCTGGGGGAAGTACGGTCCAACTATCAGGTGCAGGGGATGCCCTCATTTCTTGCTTGTGAATACCCCAGCAGTATATAGTGGGCACTGCAAGAAACAAAATCTTGGACCGAGATAGGTTTTGGTCAATCTAGCAGAGCTATTTATGCCCTGTTATCTAAAGCAGGGGTGAGAAGCCATCAAATACATGACTGGAAAAGAACTGTATGTTTAACTTTTATTAACATTTCATGTAAATAAAATTAAGTCAAACTGAGTGTCTGGCCCAGCTCCAGGAAAGCTGCATCCCAGTGGACATTCAAAAACTAAGCAAATCTGTTGAGCCAGAAAAAAAAAGTTAAACTCCTGGATCTTTGTGTTGTGCGATCCCAGCCAATGATGCTTACGGCCCAAGACTACAAGCATAGGTTGTATTTTTAGGAATGGCTAAAGGAAATCAAACATGGGCAGGCCAAGCAACCAGTAGCCTTGCAAGAAGTGCCCCCCCCACCAGTTTCTTTGAATATACTGATATGAAAAAAAATGGAAAAGAAACTCTTAAGAATATGAATAGATGATATTTTCAGTCAATGTGTAAGAAAGTCTCTTTCTTCCTTGCACCCATCCAAAAATACCTGTTTGTTTATACAAATAAAAGCATGGCTAAAAATATGGTCATTTTTTACAAGGCAAAAATAATATTGTGTTAGAACTCCAAAGAGATTCAAAAACAGAGTTCTCTACCAACAGGAGTTCTGGTGCAATATTTATGAGATCAAAAAAAAATAAAATAAAAGGGGGGGGAGCCAGCTATAAATTTGTTTTCTACCAATATCCTCCAATCTGCTGCTAAAGAGAAAACAGTCTGCTGTGTTCAAAGGGTGTGTGACATGCAATCCGCAGCTGGCCCATCAGGTGTGTTCTGATTTATACATCAGAATGGCTGCTTTAAATTCTAAGGCTAAGCCATTGACAATAACATTACACAAACCTCAAAAGAGAGTTGTTGCTCTGCCAATTAGAACATTACTTGTTTCCTAGCAAATAATCAGTCTTTTTTGGAATCTCTAAAAGAGATTCCTAGATGGATATTTCATGGTGTGGCTGCTGCTAAAAATGCCAGTGCTGGTTTCCTGGATGGGTCTGCCCAGTCTCACGGCAAGACTCATAGTTCCCATAGGATATAGCCAAAGCACACCTGAAACAGCCCAGCAAAATATGCCAGCCATGTGGAATTTGCAATGTGGAAGTTTTGCTAGCAATGGCAACTCTATACCCACAGCGGACAAATTGACAAAGGGAAAGTGATAAGCATTAGGCAGGAGCCCAGCATTACTTAACCAGCTCTACATTGAGATGCTTCTCCAATTGAAAGGTTCTGGAACAGCATTCAAATGATGCTCAAGAGATTTCAGCTACGACCTAAGTCAAGTCTCCTTTAAAAAAAAAAAAAAGGGCATGCCGAGGAGATCAACCTCTCCAAAACACAAGACACTGCTCTGGAAACAAAGAAGCAAAATGCTGTAATTCTCTACTACTGACTGTTAATGGATGGGTAAGGAAAAGTGGATATACCTAAGAAATTTTTGGACAGTTGAGATGTTATCCACAGAAGAGGCTATGCAAAAGCCAGCTCAGATACATCAGTTCAATCCAAGTTAAGTGGGGTATTATTTTTGGGGGGGTGGGGGCAGGGCCTTTCTTTTGAATTGCTTCAAAGGACTCATAAGTACATACATTAGTCTTCTCCCTTTCACATGCTGTATTCCTTCTGTCCTCACCCCAATTGATCCTTGTGCTGCAGAGTGCACAGATGCAAGCCCTAGGTACACATCAGGTGAGGCTTTCCCTGGGAGAAACACTCACAGTAGGGAAAGGTTTAAAAACATTTTCATACTCGGCAAAGATGAAGTGTGATTTGGGACTTCAAAATTCTTCAGCTTGATAGATTACTAGGTCTTTGAGTATCCTCAGCTGTAAGGAAAAATAAAAAAAACAAAAACAAATCTGAACACACCTGTAAAGTTTTCATTTCTAGTCTCATGTGGGATTTTTAGAAAATGCCCCCTAAGGTATAGGATGGCGGAGGGAGGTAAACAACTTGAGTGGTAAATGCAAAGGAAATAACAATAGTTAACCATGGGCTATCCCAGTGGTGGCAAACCTATGGCACGAATGCCAGAGACGGCACTCTGAGCCCTCTCTGTGGGTACGCGCACCGTCGCCCCAGTCCTAGGCCTTCAGCTGGGTTTTATAAAACCTTTTCGCTTTAGGCCTCCACCATGTGCAAAAAAAAAAAAAAAAAAAAAAAGTTCAGTCAATTTCAACTTCTTGCGGGGGGGGGGAAGATCTTGAAAACTTGGAATTGATTGAACTTCCCACCCAGTCTGCCGTTACCACCGCAGTCACGCCCACCCAATTGGCCACACCCACCCAATGGGCCACACCACCCACCCGGCACTTGACGATGAATAAGTGGGTTTTGATTTTCAGTTTGGGCAATGTAGGCTAAATGTTGGTTGAAACCACAGTCCAGGACCTGTTACAGAAGTCTACCAATGCTTTGAAAACCATAATTCAGATTTGTGACATTATTGGTGGGCTTTATGTTTCAACAATACATGGTGAAAAAAGGCAATCTATAAGCAAAAGCTGAATAGGAAGTATATTTTGGAATAGACCAGCCTTTTATTGTCATGCAAAGCATCATACAGATCGTGGTGTACAAGGAGTGCAGCAGCTGCCCGAAATTATCACTTCTATTTAGTTTGGAGCAGTAGCAAACCCCTGAGCAGAGTACCCATCGGCCGACCAGAAAGAAGACTTTGTACCCCTAAGGGTCCCTTCTCTGTTACTTACAAAGAGCCCTTCCTGCCTGTCTGCTCCTGAGGTTTCAGCGCAGCCAGCTTCTTGCTGAAGCCCGCTGCCTTGCTCTCTCTGGATAGGGCTGCCGCCCAGGCTCAGGATGCAGAAACTGGTAGTCTTCTGCCAGGGCAACAGCCTCATCCCCATTTTCTGGATGACGTTCCCGGACCCATTTCTGGACATCGTCAGGGAGGAGGTTCAGGAACTGCTCAAGGACTAGCTGCTCAACGATTTCCTCTTTGCTGCGGGCCTCTGGTTTCAACCACTGGAACAACAATTCCTGGAGCCGCTCATAAGCCACTTGGGGACCTTCAGTCTCTTTATAGGCAAAACCCCGAAAGCGTTTGCGCTGATTTTCTGAGACCGTGTTGGACAAGCAAGGAATAGCCTGTTCCACCTTTGTGCAGCCTCCTGCCCGGCTGACATCCAAACTGCTGTGTGCTTCCTGGGCTTCCCCAAAAAGGTCAGGCAGCAGCATAGCCCTTCCTGGCTCTCTAGCTTCCTGGCATACATCAGGCATGTCTTTAAAAACATCAGCATCATCCTCCATCATCCGTTTTGCTCCCTTCCCTTCGTTCAAGGGTGGCACTGGAACAGGGACAGCTATCTCCACGGGAGGCACCAAGGCTGCCTCAGTCGTTGGCTCCTCTTCACGTTTCCCTTTCATTTTCGTGGCTTGGCATGGATCAGCAGGCTGTGCTGGCATTTCCAAAGGTTCAGCATCCTCACCCACACATTTGGCAACTGTGTTATATTCACTCTGATCATTATCTGAATCCTGATGTTTACTCACAATGTCATTTTCTGAGTCCCTGTCTTCTGAAGAGCCAGAGCAGGAACTATCCAGGAGTGGTTCTTGAACCTCACTGGCCATTCTTCAATGGCTGCCAACAGACGTTGCAGCTTTTTTTTCCCCCTGGGAAAGTTCTACAGCAAGAGTGGTCAAAAAGAGAAAGGTTGTGATAAAAAATCAAAATTAACTCTATAGATGTCTTTATATTCACAAAAACATGAGTTGAGCTAAACTCAGAGGTGAGGCCTATGCAGAAGAGATACCCAAGGAAAGAAGTGGACCCTGGGCAAATCCTAGCACTTCTAGTTGAAATGTTAATGAGGAGGAAAAGAGAGGAAATAATGAAGAGAGTTTTGAATAACTGTTGCTAAAGGAGAAAAATATTCTCTAAAGCAGGCATGTTAGGTGTACAATTATAGTCTAGACCAGTGATGGCGAACCTTTTAGAGACTGAGTGTCCAAACTGCAACCCAAAACCCACTTATTTATCGCTGAGTGCCAGGTGGGTGTGGCTCTGGTGGTCAGGAGAGTGGGTGTGGGAAAGGTGGGCATGGTCATGTTGCTTGTGGGGAGGGACGCCTGTGGGGGCCAGGCAGGGTTGGGGGAGATCCAGGGGGTGTCTGGCAGGTGGGGCGGTAGACAGGAGGTTCATCCTGCGGGGTGAGGCGAGGCAAGGTGAGGGTGCCATTGTCACAGGGCAAAGCGAGGCAGGGGCCAGGGCGGCTGCTGCCTGACACCATCGGCCCCCGCACCCAGAGGCCAGCGAGCGCATGGGGGCCGACAGTGTCTGTCAGTAACCACAGCCTGCCAGCCCCTTTACCAGCACACTCTGGGGCTCTGCAGCCCACCGCCAGCAGTTCAGAAAAGCCGCCTTTGAGCTGGACGGCCGGCAGACAGCTGAGGAGGTGATGCAATGGGTCGTGCCTGGGAAAAGGAGAGTATGTGAGGCCAGGAGGGATGGGACAGGAGGAGGAAAACCAGCCATGCTGGGATGCATCCGGCCATATGGGACCTCGGTAAGTTAGCGGGCAACTGGTTGAAGAGGGACGGTTGCCATCTCTGGGGCATGGGACACATGCCTACAGAGAGGGTTCTGAGTGCTGCATCTGGCACGTGTGCCACAGGTTCGCCACCACTGGTCTCGACACTGTATAACTGTGCTGAACAATCAGGCTTGCTTTCTTTGCAGCTACCGGTATTTAAATTTTTTCCCCTGCTGTGGACTTACTGCTGCTTCTCTATATTCACCTCCCTTTAATCCATATTTTAAGAAGCAAACCAATATATAAACACCCACCTGGGAATAAATGCCAACCCAGGCACTTCCTTCCTTGTTACTTCACAAAAGGAGACACACTCTCCAAGTACAGAGTGAATACAATGATTCTCGGGGGGGGGGGGGAATTAAGTACCAAAAGCGGTAATTACAGATTGTACATATAAAATCTTATGTTAACAGGTCCAATCCTTTCATCAGATAGTGGTATACACTTAGCTCCACATAACATCCTCTTTATAGAACGACTGACCTTTTTGTTGTGTGCAATATTTTTTTTTAACAATAAAAGCAATATTTTGTGGAATTTCTCCAAGAATTCAGAAACTCCCCAAAACGTTATCCTTAAGACTCCAAGAGATACTACTCCAATAAATAAAGAGAAAAGCTTGAGAGGGAGGGGGGAAAAGAGGGCCGGTGCAAAAGGAGAACGAGGCCGACCCATTCTGGGGGGCAACCGTTACACCCCAACCCCGACCGAGGTCTTCCTTCGAAAGACTTCGCAGCCCATATCCGAAAGGATTTCTCTTTCTCTCTCTCTCTCTGTCCCCATCCCCCGCCATGTTAGAGCTCGTTGCAAAAGCAGGCAGGAAACCCTTTCCGCTTTCCGCCACAGGATGGGGCCCAAACCGGCTTTCCCATCTTGCCAGCGCCGCGCGGGGAGAGAAAAAGGCAGCGACCCCGGCAAGAGTAAGCAAGCAAGCAACGCTTCGGCCTTGAACCTGCCAGGAACGACTGGCCGGTGGTGGCCTCTTTATTCCCCGCTCGCTCCCGAGGCGGCCGGGTAACACCACGAGACCGCGGAGGCTTTGCAGCGTCCCGGCTCCTGGTGCGGATGGCCGTCTTTCCGGGAGCGCCGCCTTCGTTCAGGTTCGCCGCCTCCCTCGGGCGTCCCGCGGCCGCCCCACCGAGGGAAGAAGCGGAGCCGTTGCGGCGACCCGACCGCCACCACCTACCTGCGCCCAGGCCAGGCCCCGCTTCTAGCCGCTGAACCCGCCTCCGGAAGTCGCCCGAGTGCTTCCGGCCCAGTCGCGAAGGGGACGTTGACGGCCTTGGTCGGGAGAAAGGTAGAGCTAGAAGTTGGGAGAAGAGATCCTCTGGGAGTAGTTGAGAAACCGCTTGCGAGGATTATCAACCGTATACAAAAATGACAGCGTAGCTTCATAGACAGCCGGGTCTATACTTGTCGCTTAGTTAGGCAACACTTTAAAAAAAAAAAAAAAACAAAGGCAAAGCCCTTCTCGTTCCAACGTTGATAAATAATTCCCCTTAGGGCTAATAAATCCACGCAGGTAAACAAGGGACTCAAATGACTGCATCAGTACCGAGAATGAGCTGAGCCACATTGACCCCTCAAAGCAGCCAATTAATTTCGAAGTTTTCTTCGCGGTCTGTGCCTGGCGAGCTTAGCACAATTAAGTGAACTGAAAAAAATCGTAGTCAAGCTAACTAAAGGGAAACGTTTGTTAGGCCCTATTGCAACGTCCGATGGCTAATGGAAAGGGGAAGTGCTTAAAAAAATGTCACAGATAATTGCACACTAAAAAAGCACGATAAAGCACTAGAAAGAAGGAATGGGCTGTTTATTTTGCATTCTGTCCCGTCTCCGGAAGGAATAACGTTAATCTTTATGCCTTGTTCAAGGTGCTGCTTTCCAGATCATTGTGGGGGGGATTGATTAAATTGGTTGTCAAACCATTGAAAGGAAGGATTAGTTTCGCTTAAAGGCCAATTGCCCAAACATTTTACAGAACAAGTTCCTTGGTAATATACACTGCCCTAAAAACTTTGTGCTGCAATAAGAATATTTAAAGTAGAACTATCTTTTTTATGTAAAGAGACTCTATTGACTACGCTGCTTAAGTTTCAAGTGGATCTCTGGAGCTGTATGAATTGTGATTTGTTTTAAGTAGATTAACTGGTGTTGCTTTAATTGTGGTAAACCTCTTCAGAACTAGTCTAGTTAATATGTTTTCATTTATCTTTTGGACAGTTTTGAATGAGGGGACACTGTAATTGATTCCAACTTCAGCCCCTGCATCTTCTCTTCTTACCTCCTGCCTCAACTTAAATGTAATGTATTGGCCACAACAGTTTAAATCACTTGCTTAATATCTGACCTCCATTGCTGTACTGTTTAACTGTTGCTGTTACTGAAAGCCAGACTGGTTGTCTCCAAGCTAATAATGAGGTTTGGGGAGGGAAACTGTACTTTAAACCTATTGGTTGCCACCTAGAGGCTAACTGTATAAATAGCTGTGCAGCAGGCTTTAGGGCAGTGATGGCAAACCTTTTAGAGCAGATATGTCAAACTTGTGTCATCACGTGACAGCGTGCAACATATCGGAGCTTTTTTGCTGTTGCCGGCAATGGGACGCAGCTCCAGTATGATGAAACTGGCCTGCAGGCCAGCAGTTTCACACCCGTTTTAGAGATTGAGTGTCCAAACTGCAACCCAAAACCCACTTATTTATCACCGGGTGCCAGGTGGACGTGGCCACTCATAAAAAAAAGCATTTACAGTTAATGTGGGAATCTGTCAAGATCTGTAATGATTGTACTCATGAATATATTAGAGTTAGAAGGAATATAATGTTTAACATGAAAGCAGGCTGGATCTAGAATACCTCAAGGCCTGTATCTGGCTAACAATTCCTTCCAAAACCATTATTTGCTTTCCAACCAGGAGCTCTTTCTTGTGGATTCAAAGGAGGCTTTCTCTTTGCAGACTTCTATGCTAATTGGGTCAATGCACATGCTATTTATTGCCTACAAATGGTACAGAAATCATTCCCAGTTTCTTTATTTAAACTCAAGCAGGAAAGGGAAGAAAAAGAGTACTACAGTATATATATATATTAATATATATATATATATATATATATATATATATATATATATATATATATATATAAAAACAAGGGTAACAGTAAAAGGATAAAGGAATGACAACATTTGCACCATAGCAGGGAAAGAGCATCTGGTTCAGAGCCTGCTGTAGTCTAAGCAATCCAACAGGATGGGAAAGGGATAGGGAATCATGGGCAGGGATAGTTGTAAGTCTCAGGCAATCAAGAGGAAAAGCTGCTTTTCACTCTCCTTTTAAATCAGGAGCTTTTAATATTTATATTGTTGCTGAATTTCTTGATTTGCGGGTACATTCGGTCCATGCAAGATTTCAGAGATGCTACAGGAAAGATAAAACACTATTAGTATATCAAAACATTTTAAGTATTTTATATTCTATTCAGAGAATGAACACTTGGCAAACAGTTTAATATAAAAGTGACTAACGATTTCTAACCAAGCCCAGATATTTCATTCATAAAAATTTCCAGAATTAAGATTATAGATTGGAAGAAAATGCCAAATAAGCAGATGTTGCTCACTTTTGTTTACATAAAATGGGAAACAAATGTGCATCAAAAAGTGGAAAACCACATATTTAGATGGACTACATTAGTTTATGGAAAGTACAATAACTATCCATCAAACTACCCATCAATTTTTTAAAAAAAATTCTATAAGAAATCTTTCCACACCTGTGGAAATAATCCATACTGTGTGTAATGTTCAAAATACCTTCCATCTGAGTAAGTTTTCAGAGTCTCACCTACTGAATTTTATTGAGAATGGAACTTTAGCTCTCCGTTCCAAGACTGTCTTCTCTACCAGCCATCATTGAAGCCGTCTGCAGTAATCCAAATTTGCAATGACACTGCACTGTGAACCTTCCCTAGTTGAAGAACAGAACTTTCCATGCTATGACTTTGGAAAACAGGCAACTGCTTCGGATTAATGGGAAAACTGTAAATTCTATCATATAGTCCAAATAGCAGAGCCAAATATTTAAGGATAGCTATTTGCCATTTTTAAATCCTTGTTACTTGCTCTGTTTTAACAGTACTCAACAAGAGAGAGAGAGACTCATTTTCCTTTTCAAAGAAAGGAAAATAAAACCTAGAGAGTATGAAAAGAAAAGTGCCTTTGCCCAAAAAGTAACAAAGGGGGAGACTTACATTTCTTTCCCGCCATACTGGCCTACTAGGGATTTCAGCAATGTTCTGGGATGTGTTTGTTCCTGGTAAAGATTTTGTGTTGTTCAGGATCCGTACAACAGTGCCAAGAGCCTCTGATATGTCCTGCAAAGAGGAACCGCTCAATCCATACAGGGTAGAAGCTGCATATAAATGAACAACAACAAATAGATAATAAATATCACAAAATGCTGCAAAAAAAAAACCTTCTTAGCAATCTTGGTGGGACCTTCATTCTTGCCATCTTAATAAATACATTGAGATATGTCTTTCCACCTTAGTTTACTTTTAAAACTGGATAAATTTTTCAAATCAAGCATTTCCCGCCACTCCTGATTCCATCCTTAGATTTTTCATCAAGCTTTTGCTGGTGCCTTTAAGCTGTATTCATTTTAATTCTTGTTTATTCATTGATGTCCTACCTTTCTGAATGAAATACTTATTTAAGACTGATTAGCTAGGATGCCAGTAAAGAATTCCCTACTGAATATCAACACTACACTTTCCTGGCGAGTGCTCTTATGACAAAATGAGAAGTAAGATTTGCTATGGGGGATAAGTATACTTAATTAATAGCCAAGCAATTATTCTGGGCAAGATCTAAGTGATTTATGTTCTGTATTGTGGTCAGTACTGAATTCAGCAATAAACAAATATTAAACAGAATCAATGGCAAGACAATCATGCAAGTATACAGGTAAGATACAAATTCTTGCAAGTAACACTGGAAGGACAAAAAGAAAATTGATGTCACCATGGTGAAGAGGCCCTCCTTGTTTATGCCTCCAGAGTTACCTTGGGTTAATCGGAGCTCCTCCCGTACTGTATCCAACTCAGCCTTCAACACGGTGCAGCCCAAACAGGGGGGTAGCATCCTGGAACCAGGGCCTCTGTCTTGGGCTGTGTCACCACTGCCATTTCCACTCCAGGGAGAATCCAGTAAAATGTCAATGCTGTCACTAAATGAAGGTCTGTCTATGTCAGGAGACCCATGACCATCATGGCCAGGTTGGGGGCTGGACACGGTGGCATCCTTGTCAAAAGCCAACTGAGATGGCCCAAGACTAGCCGATGCTTTCTGCTCATGCTTTATCCCATTCACAGCTTCTGAAACTCGGCCACTGCTTTTCATCTTAGCTTCCCCTTCCGTCTGGCTTTCTCCAGCCACGTTATAACTGGGGACAGATCTTCCCCGCCCTTTTGCTTTCCCAGCCTGCTTTCCTGGCCTAGACGTGGGCATTTCCTTTGCTTTCTTTCCGGTTTCAAGCATTTCTTGCTCCTCTATGCTATTATCCAACTTCATCTGCTTGGCTGCTGCCACACCGTGTTCTCCATCCTGTTTGGGCACAATCTGCTCTCTCGGATCTGATCTGGCTCTCTTCCTCAGCTGGAGATGTGTTTCTGTACCTGAAGATGGAGAATAAGTTTATCTTGAGAGACCTGCCAAGATACAAAAATAACAAATGGGCTCGTGGTTAAGGCCCTAGGCTGGGAATCTTAAGACTTGGGTTCCAGGCCCATAGATGGAGTGGCATTCCACTCACTTCTTAAAGGGTATATGTTTTCTTACTTAAGAGGTTTTTAAGGGCTGCAACTATGAATACAACCCTTAGAATGTGAAGGGTAGTTGATAGCTTTCCTTTTATAAAAACTTTGAGATCATAATTATTCCTATTTTACAGATAAATTGAAGACATCATTAAGAAATCAAGATAAATTTACTTGCTTAAGATTCACCCAATGTGGAACTCCTTCATAGAGCTTATGCACATACTTCTAAAGTAATCTGAATTAATTTGGAGAGCTCTTTTTTTGTCTTCTCTCTATAGCAGTGGTGGCGAAACTATGGCATATGTGCCAGAGGCGGCACTCTGAGCCCTCTCTGTGGGCATGCGTGCCATGCCCCAGAGATGGCAACTGTCCCTCTTCAACCAGCCTCCCGCTAACTTGCCAAGATCCCATATGGCCAGAAGCATCCCAGCATGGCTGGTTTCCCTCCCGCCCCCGTCCCATTCCTCCTGGCCTCACATGCTCTCCTTTTCTTGGGCACGACCCACTGCATCACCTGCTCAGCTGTTGGCCAGCTGCCCACTTCAGAGGCGGTTTCTCTGAACTGCTGGCGGTAGGCTGCAGAGCCCCAGAGTGCACTGCTCGAGGGGCTGGCAGGCTGTGGCTGCTGACAGACACTGTCGGCCCCCATGCGCTCGCTGGCCTCTGTGTGCGGGGGCCAATGGTGTCAGGCAGCAGCCGCCCCGCCCCCTGCCTCACCTTGCCCTATGACAATGGCACCCCCACACTGCCTCACCTCGCCTCACCCCACAGGATGAGCCTCCTGCCTACCGCCCAACCTGCCAGAGACCCCCTGGATCTCCCCCAACCCTGCCTGGCCCCCATAGGCATCCCTCCCCATGAGCAACATAGAGGTGACACACCCACCTTGGCCACCCCCACCCAGTCTGCCGTGACTACCACAGCCACCCCCACCCAGTGGGCCATGCCCACCTAGCACCTAGTGATAAATAAGTGGGTTTGGGGTTGCAGTTTGGGCACTCCGTCTTAAAAGGTTCGCCATCACTGCTCTATAGTGTACCTAACCCTCCAGAAGAGGTTTAGATTTAAGGAAATCTTAGCAGCTGTGAATTCAACTAAATACCTTTTGAATCAATCAACCCTGCTGTGGACCTGAGAATTACCATTCAAAATGTCTTTAGAAATATACTGTTGAGTGAACTCAACAGGCTGTGACATGTGAATGAGTGAACATAAACTGAACCTGAACAGGGGTTGCCACAAGGAAGAGGGAGTCAAGCTATTCTCCAAAGCACCTGAAGGCAAGACAAGAAGCAATGGATGGAAACTAATCAAGGAGAGAAGCAACCTAGAATTGAGGAGAAATTTCTTCACAGAATAGTTAATCAGTGGAACAATTTGCCTCCAGAAAATTTGGGTGCTCCAACACTAGAGATTTTAAGAGACTGAATAGCCATTTGTCTGAACTGATATAGGGTTTCCTGCCTGAGCAGGGGGTTGGACTAGATGATCTCTACGGTCCCTTCCAACTTTATGATGATGATGAAGAACAACCTCTTCAGCAAACACTTCACTTCCTTGCCTTCTGATGATCCCATCACAGCCTTGGCTAGCTTTTCCTTTCCACAGATTTTGCTAATTTGCTAGTCTCTATGCTAAGAAACATATTGCTGAAAAATACTTCTTTGTTTGATGTACTGACCAAGCAATGATAGAAACTGAGAGGATAGACTGGATAAAGCTGCTTATGGTATAGAAGTATAAATAGAAAGGGGAAAACAATCTAAGTGGAGATTTACTAAAGCAAATGAAAACAATAGACAGTGATCCTCAAAAGATAAAGAAACAAATCTGTCCCATCAAAGATTCAATGCACCTAATAAGCAAATTCTTACCTAATAAGCCAACCTTTCTAGGATTTTCTCGACTGTCTTTTATGCAGGGTTGTCTCTGATCCTCATTCAAGTCTTCTCGAGGGGAATCTACAACCATGTTATCAGAAGTAACACGTATCTGAAAAATAAGAATGCCACTCTTACAAATTAAAAAGGGCCCTCAGTTCCACACCAAAAGGGTAAAGAAGTATTCCCCTATCATTTGTGAACTGGGGATAAATACAAGCATTTTGAACTTGCTGTTTGTTGCCTCATCCTAAATATTCTTCAAAACTGAATCTTGCTGCACAATCATATGAAAATATTGGCTAGAATTTGACAATTTATACCCATAGGAATTTTAATTTTTTAAAAAGCAGATTCATTTTCTACTGTCTAGCCCAGGGGTAGGCAACCTTGGCTCTTTTATGACTCGTGGACTTCAACTCCCAGAATTCCTGAACCAGCCATGCTGAGGGGAAAGGGAGAGATTTCCATGCTGGCTAGGGAATTCTGGAAGTTGAAGTCCACGAGTCACAAAAGAGCCAAGGTTGCCTACCCCTGGTCTAGAACATTTTGAATAGCCTTTCAGCTTTTGCCAAAGCAGGAAGGCTCAAGAAATTGGAAGTACAGGAAAACAGCTTTCATCTTCCTATGACCTGCAGTGCTTCTTGTTTCTACCTTGTCTTTGAAGCCCACCTTTAACTGAAAAATGTCAAGCTCTTGCTAATAACAACAGTAATTCCAAGATTCCATGTAGACTCCCTCGATCAGGAAGAAAGATGTGTGAAAAAGATTCCCTTTTCCTTTCCTCACTCCTCCTGAATGCTATTCCCAAACCCCCAAAGCAGAAAGAATTCTCAACATGATCTTACTTGGTCCCGTTGCCTCTTGGACTCAAAATGGAGCTGGAATCTCTCTGCCAGGGCCACAGCTTCCTTGCTATTTTCGGGCTGGCATTCACGTACCAAGGTCTGGATCTCGTCAGGGAGTATGTTCAGGAACTGCTCAACAACTAGCAGCTCCATAATTTGCTCTTTGCTATGCACATCTGGCCGTAGCCACTGGTGGGAAAGCCGCCACAGACACCTGTATGCTTCCTGGGGTCCCTGGGCCTCCTGGTAATGGAACTGCCTGAATGACTGTCGGTGCGTCTCTAAGTCTATGTCTGTTTCAAGTGCTTTCGCATGACTGCTGGCACACAGCTGTTGGGCCTTGTGGTGGAGCTGGTCTTTCCCTTGCTGCTGAGAACTGTGGTATGAATCACACAATGGATTCAAAACTGAGAGATGTGCCTCTGAATGATCACCTTTCCCTGTTCCTCCCAGGTGCCCCGCATGGAAAGGGAGCCTTGGGCCTGACAGCATCTCCTGACAGTGGTCTGCAGGAGGCTGCTGAGACAAGAGCCACCTCAGTATCTCTTCGGCTGTCCAATATTGTACTTCAGGAGGCACCTTAACTCTTCCTCCGAGTGCTTCCTTCACTGCAAGTCTGTTTAGACTCTTCCCCGAGAGGTCAGACTGCATTATCTGTTCTAATAAAGCCTGCAGGGCTGAACTAGTCCCCGCAGCTGTTCCTGCTCCATTCTTTGTGGCCATCTGCAAGGTCTGCATAGGATTAGCACAGGCAGCAGAGTTAGGACTGGCAGGAGACCGCTGAGTTAGCACCTGGACAAGCTCAGTTTGCTTCTGAAAAAGTTTCTCAAAGAGCTGGGCTTGGAACTCCCTATCCTCACGTCGCATCTCCTTGTCGTGCTGGATGAACTCGGCTAAACTCTGTTTTTCCTCAGCTTGGATGGCAACCTGTTTCTGCATTCTCTGCAGCTCCTGTTGGTGTGAGCGACTACACTTCTGGCCAGCCCCCCTTGACTGCCCATCCCCCTGAACCTTTTGTTTCCGAGTTCGAAGATGGGGACGTTGGTCAAGCATGGAGATGAGCTGCCTGGGCGGAGGCTGGATCTCCATTAGCATAGGAGAGGCCACATCTATAAAATAAGGAACAGTGAACAGCCATATATGTATATATAAAAAAATGTACTCTCAAAGTAGTGCAACCTCATCCATAGGGTCAGAATGATTCCTAACATCTAATGGCTGATTCAAAGGTCAAGAAAATAATAAAATGAAATGCATGGGCAGAACACAACACCTGTGACTGCATGCTAAAAAAAAAAAAGGCTGAAGGTTACCCTGTGATGTTCTTCTGAGTGTATAAATAAAATAAAAAAAACCTGACAGAGTTGGCTATAGAGCAGGGGTCTTCAAACTTGGACCTTTTATGACTTGTGAACTTCAACTCCCAGAATTCCTCAGCCAGCATGCCTGGCTGAGGAATTCTGGGAGTTGAAGTCCACAAGTCCTGAAAGGACCAAGTTTGAAGACCCATGATATAGAGGATTATATTTATGGCCAGAAACAGAAAGTTCTGGTTCCAGTGGAATTCAGGTAAAATGTTTAGACCAAAATATTAAGTCCAACAAAATTGTGAAACTAAAGACCCAAATAGTTCAGAAAACAATTAACAGAATATTCAGATATAAGCCCCACTGCCCCTCCTTAGGTATCCTTCTAGAGAATTTGTACTGACACCCTCAGAAAAATGAACAAGTGGTTGTTACCCAGCTCAGGTGAGATTTCACCTTCTGACTCCTCTTCTTTCACCTGAACTGGGATCACTTGGATCTCACCAAAAGCCTCATGAGTCTCTGCCTGGGTGTAGCTGAATTCATCAGTCCCTTGGCTTTCAGAGGCAGCAGTTTGGGACAGCCAATGCCCGGAGGCCTGGGACCCCCAACGCTCAGAGATGCTGGATTGGGCCCCCCAGGGCTCAGAGATGGAGAGGCCTTCCTGTCTGTCCGCAGTGACACTGGACCCTTCACCAACCTCAGAGGGGAAACCGGGCCTGCAATTTATATACTGCGTCATGATCTGGTCAATTTCATCATAGAAGGGGCATTTGATCGGGGGCCGGCCCACAGAGTTATTTTCCTTAGCCTTGCGGTAAGCCACTTTTAAGCCTTTCATTTTTTCACGGCACTGGTCTCCAGTTCGATAAATGCCCATTTCTGCAAGGCGCTGAGAAATGCCATCGTAGACGGCACGGTTCCTCCCATGGGAGCTAAGGTCATGGGTGACTGCTGCCTCAGTCCAGAGGGCAAGGAGCACCTTGATATGCTCTGCTGGCCAGCTAGCTGCCCGTTCTTGTGGTCTATCCCGCCTCATTTCTACCAAGGAAAACCTGAAATATCTCGTTGGCCGGTTACACAGCAGAGATCAGGCCCGCTGAAGTTCAAATGAAGGCAGGACAGATACAAGGAAGGAAATGTAAATGGTCTGTATTTCAGAGTTTGCACTTTCTGTGCCTGAACTGCCTTGTAGATAGTCCTCGATTCTCCTCCGTGTATCATTTATGCAGAGAGTGTAGATTACGAAACTTCCAAATCTAGGCATCCAAATTCTGAACAGCCACAACAGCTACATCTTCCCACTTGTATCAGGTGCAGAGATATTAGGACAGGGTAAATCACAGCTCACGAGAGAAGGCAGAATACTGCATCTCCTGGGAAAGAAAGGTCAGGTTTCAAAAACCAATGTTTAAATCAGAAAATCTTTGATCTTCTATACTGTATAAAACCTCTCTCCCCTTTTAACTAACTTAGTTATCTCCTCTGTTTTTTGAAGGAGACAGTTTGGTCAAATCTGGAAAAATCCTGGAAGCTTGTGCCAAAAAAAATGACTAACATTTATATCGCACACTTTTCCCAAGCACCCCAGTTCAAGTTTCATGTTTTCTCCATTTTGCCTCACATCAGTTCTGTGAAGAAATTCAGGTTGAAAGAAAAGTGATTGGCTCAAAATATAAGCAAGCTTAACAGAGAAGAACTACAGAGTATTCTGTCTCAGCTTGTCACAGAACATTGCAACATTTGAACACTAACCCCCGGGATCCTTCAAAATAAAATCACTGTGCAAAATTAATTGATAATATAATCAATTTCTATTTCTTGCAGAGATTTGAGATGACTATTCCAAGAATAAGTGATGTTTTTTCCAGACATGTCTACTTCCATTTTCAGCTTGTGTGTTGTGTGATGCACAAAAGTTTGCATTTGGTTAGAAAAATAAATAATCCAATGTATACAAGCCCCCCTTAACATGACAGAACTAAAACTACTTCCATATCAGGAGATTGCTTGTTTTCATTCAATATCTCACATTCTAGAACACCATGGTAACAGCTGAACAGTTGAACAAGATTAGAAAACACACTATCCAGGCATCAGTGTTATGAATAATAAAAGTCAGTAGGCACTAGATCAGGGGTGTCTAATCAGGTTAAGCATATTGCATTCATTTTAAAGGCATATTTATATATATGATTGATCTCTCTGGAATAAAATTAACAAGAGTAACATAGTAAATAAAATAAGCTTTCAGGAAGAAAATAGCGTATAAATATTTTAAAATTCACACATGTAAACATGTGGAAGGAATCTTTTAGGCTGCAAAGCAAGAATCCAAATTATCTCCAGAAGATGGTGTCTATTCTCTACTTGCACAGTGTTTGCCTTATAGATATCCCTTTTATAGTTTGACCCACAGTAACCATTTATAGGTATCTGTAGTGTATATCTAGCCAATTTTTTACATAGTTACCCTTTTACTAGTTTAACTTGCAATATGACTAGGCCAGGGGAAGGCAACCTTGGCTCTTTTATGACTCATGGACTTCAACTCCCAGAATTCCTGAGCCACCACAAGTCATAAAAGAGCCAAGGTTGCCTACCCCTGGACCAGGGGTAGGCAACCCAAAACACTTAAAGAGCCACTTGGACCCGTTTCCCACCAAAAACAAAACACTGGGAGCCGCAAAACCATTTTGATATCTAAAATGAAGATAACACTGCATATATCCTTTTTTACCTTTATTATAGGTGTATGTGTGTTTGTGTGTGTGTGTTTGTGTGTGTGTATGTATGTATGTGTGTGTGTGTGTGTATATATGTATATGTATATGTATGTATATATATACATACACACACACACACACACACAGAGAGAGATAAAAAAAGTATATATGCAGTGTTATCTTTATTTTAGATGTCAAAAGGGTCTCTCTCTCTCTCTCTCCCTCTCTATCTGCCCTTGGTCTGCCACTCCTCTTCCCCCGCTCTCTTTCTTTCTCTCTCTCTCTTTCCTCTTTCTCTCTCTCTCTCCCTCTCTCTCTTTCTCTCTCTCTCTTTCTCCCCCCCCTCTCCTATCTGCTGCTCACCTGACAAGCTTCAGGCTGTTGTCCAACAAGATAAGGGGTAGACAACCTCGTCTCTTTTATGACTCATGGACTTCAACTCCCAGAATTCCTGAGTCAGCCTAGCTGGGCTAGCTAGCTCTCTCCTGCCCTTCCTGCTTCCTGCAGAGATGCAGCAAAGGGGGGAGCTCCGCTCAGTAAGCTTTTCAGCTCCTCGGAGAACACTGTGAGTGCACTCTTTTTTTTATACACACACACACACACACACAGAGAGAGAGAGAGAGAGAGAGAGAGAGAGAGAGAGAGAGAGAGAGAGAGAGAGAGAGAGAGAAGCAGGGAAGCGCAATTCCTCTCTCTGTCTCTGTGTCTCTCTGCAAAGGCAGAGGAGGCTGGGAGCCGCAGGGGAAGGCTCAAAGAGCCACATGCGGCTCCAGAGCCGCAGGTTGCCGACCTGTGCCCTGGACTATGCAATGTATAGGTATGCATTTGACAGAGAGGGAGGGAGGGAGGGAGAGAGATTTTGACTTGGCTACTGTATCATTTCAAGAGGATTTGATTTGGTTATTGTTGCAATTGCCTGCAGTGATTGTATGTGTGTGCAGACACACACAGAGGTAACATATGTATAGCCAATTTTTGACTTATTTTAACAGACTGTGGTTACATGTATTTACACACAAAACATACAATACATAGCCAAATTTTTACTTAGTGGTCATTTCAGCCATTTGGATTTTGTATAACTTGGGTACTCACAGACATGCATATGTACATGCATATATAATATGTACAGCTAGGTTTTGATTATTATTGTAATAGTTAATGTACATGCAAAACCAACAGTTGACAGTTATCATTTTATGTTTAGCCTGAAGTGATTTACAGTGTGTGTGTGTGTATACACATGTATAAAGATATACATACATATTGGATGGATGGATGGATGGATAGATAGTTTGGGTAATGAAACATCTGTAAGAAAACAAGCAAGCTCGGAGAGCACCAAGGACCCCTCATTTCAACGCAGAGCTGCAAATATTCTCCTTCATTGGGATGGATGAATGGATGGATGGATGGATGGATAGATAGATAGACAGAGACAGAGAATGGATAGATAGATGATGGATAGACAGACAGATAGACATCACGCACACAATACAATATAAACATTAGAACATATACGCTATACATCAAGGCTATAAATCAAGAACCAGCTTCGGGCTAAGCTGCAGGCGGGACCCAGGCGCTCTGGGTTGGCATCCCGCCCGGGGACAGCTTCGATTCCTGCAGACCAAACCCCCGAGGAGGCAAGGTCGGTTTTCACCGGTCCCTCCTTGCCCCCTTCCTTTTCCTTTGCTCCCTCAGCCCCCTCCCCGCTTACGGGGTCTCCGGGCGTCATTAGACACGGCCCGCCGGGAAGGCAGCCGAGATGCTCTTGAAGAAAGGGCAAAGCCACAGCGACCCCGCTTAAGGCCAAGCGGTGCCTCCATCTCCTTCCGACCCGCCGCCCGAAGGCCCATCGCGGCCCGCGCTCTCTTCTTCTCCGAGGCGAGAATGGCCTCTCGTGATGATGGGGGGCGGGGGGCTTCCCTACCTGCTTTGGGGCACCCCAAACCGCCTACCTGCGGTTAAAGGACCAAGAGAAGAGAAGGCGGCGCTTCGGCCCAGAACTCGCCCGCGGGAACCAATAGGAAAGCCGGGAGATCCCGACCGGGAGAAGATCATTGCTTCTTTCATCGGTCAATCATCCTGGAGGAAGGGCTCTAGCGGTGGCGGTCCCCCCTGCAGGCTACCTATTCTGATCGGGCAGGGAGCTACGACGGGAGAGAGGTGAAGCACACTTGTCAATCAAAGAGACGTAGGCCAAGCAAAGGACTACCACTCCCGTGAGCCTCTCTGTCTCTGCCGGGTGAGCGTGGCCGGAAGCGGCATAATCCAGGCTGGTTTCCGGTCGAGCGGATTAAAAATGGAGGAGATCGGTATCTTGGTGGAGAAAACACAGGTACGGGAAAGGGAGAGCGAGCTGCGGGGAGGAGGAGGAGGAGGAGAAGGAGGAGGAGGAGGAGGAGGAGGAGAAGCTAAGTCGCGGGGAGAGCAGCGACCTGGCCGGTGGTTCGGCCTCTTCCTCCCGCTCCTGAGGTTTGGGTAGGAGGCGGCGGAGCACCAGGAGCGCGAAGGACGGAGGTGGAGATGCCGAGTCATTGCTTGTTGGTAGGCCTGGGAGTGGGTGTGAGAGCAGGCCGCGATTGCCAGCAGGTTCCCTCCTTCTCGGCGGTGTGAGGCGTGTTTCGATTTATGGAACTGCGAGCCGATTGCAGTTAATTTGTATTTTGATTGTATACAGTAATTCTCTTGTACGCCTTGATGGGAGCTCATATAAGTAAATGTTACTATGTCATCATCAAAATCACCCTACTTTATTTTGTGTATGAGTCAAGACCACGAAGAGACCTACTATTCCTGCCTTCTATTTTCTCCACAACCAGACTGTGAATTGGGCTTTAGTGAGAGAGAGGGACGACCAAATTCCCCCAGCCTGGTTTTGTGCCTAAGGGAGGATTAGAACATACTGTCTACTCGTTTTCAAGCTATCTTATCTCATTTTTCATAATCTTCTGGGAAACTATTCTCCTTTTTGCTGAAGCTTATGCCAATATCATATTATTGAGACTTCAGAAAGCCTTCTATTGGGTGATAAGGGTTGTGTTACAGGTAGGAATAAGAGCAAACTTAATAAGAATGCTAAATATTTTATCTGTTGGAACTTTTGTCCAATTAGGTTTCAGAGTTTAAAGGAATTCCAAGGATGTTGCTTTGGGTACATCTAGTTTGTTAATGTTGCCAGTGTCCCATTCAGTTATTCTGGTGTGTTTGTCAAAGGTTGAAGTTGGTTACATGTCTATTCATTTGTGGGGATATTCTATATCCAAATTATTTATATCTAATCTGTGCCCTATGTTTTAATATCTAGGATGAGCTTCCTGCTCTCTCTATTTCCAGACCTCAGACTGGCCTCTCCTTCCTAGTTCCTGAAGCTGAGGATGTTGAGGATCTATATAGCCGATACAAAGTGAGCTGATGTTCAGTCACATATTACTATGGTTTAGCAGTGCTGGGGAGCATTGTTGTTTCTAAGTTGTATTTTGTATTTGTCAGTCTACAACTATGTCTATGTTCAAAAGGCATTGGAAAAATAGAATAGAAGGTGTTGAAGAAAGTAAATTATTAACTTTATATCCTGTATTTATTTTGTGCAAATAAAGGCAATATACATCATGCTTTTTCTGTCTATTTTCCCCATAACAGCATCCCAATAAAGTGAGTTGGACTGAGATAAAATGAATAGGCCAAAGTCACCCAACTGACTTGTATACCTAAGGATTAGAACTTGCAGCCTCCTGGCTTTTACTATAGTACAGTTGATAAGGGTATCAAACTGGGTGTCATAAATACATAAAAGAATAGATCTCTGTAGAACTTTATTCAAGTGTCTCACATCAGTTCCTTCTTCATGTCTGATATCTTTTCTACCAGTGGCTCTAGATGTTGCTATTAGCTTTCCAGAACAATGGACTACTGAGTTGTCATTCTCTTTCCCTGCCAAGAAAAGCATTGTGGCAAGAAAAACCAGGGAAAATAAGTGCAGAGTTTGCTCTCCCCCTCTCCTTCCCCCCCCTCCAGTAAAAGTGTACTGCCAGAAAGTACATTTTAACTAGTACTTTCATTTGTTTTTCCTGCTCTCTCCTTCCAACTTTTTTATTTTGTCTTGTGGTTCTGTTTTTTTTTTAGATTCCAAACATAAAGCTCCACTCTTTAATTGTGAATTGCGCTGAATTTTAAAAACAAATATTATCACTCCTTCAAAAATAATGCAGTCAAGTTATTTCAAAACATGCATTCCCCATGCATTTCTGGTATTCAGGATTCCCATACTACTCAGTATTGGGAGTATACTACTTGATACACTATGCATATTCAGAAGGAATTCATGATGTGGTTGGTTATCTCTAGTCCTTGCTTCATTTTATAAATGGGAATTTTGCAGGTGCAACAAAAGTCACACTTTTTTGGTCTTTTTGTAGAAACTCCAGCAGGAGCTGGAATTCCTGGAGGTCCAGGAAGAATACATCAAGGACGAACAGAAAAATCTTAAGAAGGAATTTCTGCATGCTCAGGAGGAGGTGAAACGTATCCAGAGCATCCCACTGGTCATTGGCCAGTTCCTGGAGGCAGTGGATCAAAACACAGCCATTGTTGGTTCTACCACAGGTAGAGTGCCCATCCTTTTTGCTGGCTCTTGATTTGTGGAAGGTTGAGGGAAGAAACTTTACGGCAGACATTATCTTTTTTTGAATTATGTCCCTGGTAGCTCACAGGACCATTTTAATTTCTGTTAAAACAGTTAAGGGCTGCCATTTCAATACCCCCAAATGCCTCAAAGCATTCTAAGAAAGTGAAGTTGCAGTTAGGCTTGATGGTCCCTCCCGCTCATAGAGAAGATAGGCAATAGGCCTAACTAAGTGATCTTCCACTCTCCCCATTCCTTAGAAGTAGAAGTAGGACCCAGTTTAACCTTGTGAATGTCTCCAATGCAGGCTCCAACTACTACGTCCGAATCTTGAGCACCATTGACCGTGAACTGCTGAAGCCCAATGCTTCTGTGGCCCTGCACAAGCACAGTAATGCGTTGGTGGATGTGTTGCCTCCTGAGGCTGATAGCAGTATTATGATGCTGACTTCAGGTGACATGCATCTATCTTTCTTAACCAGATGCAAACTCTGCTCTCTGCCTGCATGGTGTGTGTGTGTGTGTGTGTGTGTGTGTTTGTTTGCCAGAATGTCATTTTATCTGCAAAAATTCCAGATAAATATGAGAATTGAATGTACTAATAAACTCTTTGCTGCATTGTCTCATCATGTAGTTGTTGAGCACACGAAGTGTGGTCACATGACCTAGGGGGAGGTGGCTATTGGAACTTTGGAATTGGGTCATAAGTATCCCTGGTGAGGTCTGCTGTAACTTTGAAAAATCACTAAGTTACCGGTTGTAAGTCGAGGACTATTTGTGTCATTTCTTAAATTGGGAGCAAATAAAAACATGGAATCGGGTTGCTTGCAAAAATGGGTAGTTATTGGATTGAAAGCTTATCAGTGTCTATTTGTTCCAAATAGATCAGAAACCAGATGTGATGTATGCTGACATTGGTGGGATGGATATTCAGAAGCAGGAAGTCCGAGAGGCCGTGGAGCTGCCCCTCACTCACTTTGAACTTTATAAACAGGTATTCTAAATTTCAGGGCTGAAAGTTGGCAAACAGAAGTGGATACAAATAGTCCTTTTGTTATATCACATTTTTGTTTTTCAAAACTTCTTCAAAACTCATATAAGGCATTTGCTCCTCTCCACTCAGCTCAGGCATAATGACTTCTAAACTAGTTTGCTCAGGTTATGAAGAGATTGACAAGCATATTTCACACATCATCTGTCTCTTAGAACGTAAAGTTTTCAAGCGTCAAGTGCTTCTTAAGCTGAGGTATTAGCAGTTATGTGACAGGAAGAAATATATGTCAAAAGAAGCATGCAGTTTTCATGATATAGTAGCTACCAGTGGCTAGGTTTTGCCCATTGTCCTAGGCCGTGAAGCTCTCTTGGTTTTGTGCAGTGTGGGTACCTAGCCATTGTATTAATGGCTTAGTAAGACAGAAGTACAGTCATTATTTAGAGCTAGAGGCAATAAAACTAGACAGCTCACTGGATGCACCAACAATGAAAACACACCTTAAATACGCTAGGCATGTAATGCTAAGTTACGGTTCGCTTAATGTATAACTACCATTGTAGTTTGAGATATTTGTTGCCAGGCAAAACAGCGCAGTAAAATTTATAATTGACTGGATTCAGAGGTTTAATCTTAGCATTGATGGGGGGAGTTATATAATATCAAAGTATTGATGTCCATACTTCAGCCATTTGAGACTGAGGGCATCTTTATTAAATCTGGGAAAAAGTAAAACATGATGGCCTCACAAATTAATTATTTCATTGCTTGTTGCTTCCTTGTGTGGCTCTTTTACAGATTGGAATAGATCCTCCTCGGGGTGTGTTAATGTATGGGCCCCCTGGCTGTGGAAAGACTATGCTGGCCAAAGCTGTGGCCCATCACACCACAGGTATGTATGGTTTTGGTTATATTACCATGTTTCATATAAATTCCTCCCTTGTTAGGTATTTTTCCCTTTCATCTGGGCTATTTTGGTGTTTTATTGCCAACTTTTTGATATTTGTTAGTGCCTGAAGCTGAAAAGAGGCAAGGTCTAAGTGTTGTAATTTAAGAAGGCAACATGGATGGGAAAATAATTGCTAACCAACAGGTGCAACTGGAAGTAGAGGTTGGAGATGTCCTAGAATGCATATTATCACCTTCCTCTATGTAAAGAAGGATAGGCCCCCTCTCTCTGAGCCTTTTTAGTCTTCTCTGTAATAGCACACAGATCAACTGATCAAAGTTAACGTTTGGTTACTCTGGAAACCACCTACAAGCTTGACCTTAAATGTATATTGCTTCATAAATAAACACAGACTCCTGC